TGGTCTAGGGGTAGGAATCATGGAATGATTTGGGTTAGGAGGGACCTTAAACCCCACCCCATCCCACCCCTGCCATGGTCAGGGACACCTTCCACTCTTCCAGATTGCACCAAACCCCATCCAACCTGGACACTTCCAGGTGTTCGCTTAAATTAATGTTTTATAACTGTAACAGCCCCTGTGCTCATTCAGAGACTTTTCTTATTTATCCAGTTGGACATCCTAAATTACTTTTATCGTAATGCTGGAGAAATAATTGTCTCACCTCTCTTAGGACATGCTGGAGGGTTTATTCTCCCCTTGCTATCTGAGCAGTTATAGTCATAAATCCTTGTGCATTGAGAACAGAATAGACATTATATGCCTAGAAAATTCTTATGATTTCTAAGCTATTATGCCCAAATCCTAATTAACCATTATTAAAAATAATGTGTCCTTTTTAGAACGTGAGATATAGCAGCACGATAAGATACGACGTGAAAATCCCAAATATCACGGTGTAATTTTGCTGCTTTGCTTTTCTTCTTTTATTAGAGATTTCCAGCATCCTGCTGCATTTCCATTCCAAGTGGCAAGATTCAATAGTATATATTTTGCAAACTGCCAAAACAGAGCCATTGGATTTAGTTTTCTAATAATCAAACAACCGTATAACGTGCCTGTACATGTCAGGGACAGAAGAAAGCAAATTTATACACAACACCGTGTATTTTGTGGATAGCGATAACCCACCCAAATCTAATTTAATCAAATATTTAAAGAGGTAATAATTAATTTTTAAAGAATTGAAGTGAACCGTAACTAGGAAGAAATGTTATTGTTTATTTTTAATGCCAGAACAGTATTCCTGATGCATTTTTAATATTTCATTAAGGCAGTAACTTTCATACTGTATTTTTTCCAGTTTTTGTTATCTCAGTGATACTTTTTTTCCTTGAACAAAGGTGAAACATTACAGGCAAACTTAAGTCTTGAACTGATGCAGTGTTTGAGGATCTTTTGTCATAACTAATTAAACACAACCAGAAGTATTTTTAAACAAGTTAAGACACAACACCTGGTTGAGAGCCAGGAGTGGGCTTCTTTTTTTACCTTGTGACAGTGTCCTTCCCATCAGATATAGCTTTCTATCCTCTCTTTTGAGCTATTATTCATAATCCTTACATTTTAGGAGAGGTATTTGCAAGCAGGGCTCTAAACCCCACCACTCTCTGTGCCCTCCAGAGCTCCAAACTGCTCTGTCTTGGTCTTTTGTTTCTTTTGATGAGGTGTCTCTCACATTTCCAGCCTTTTATACTCAAAACTGTGGAAGGCTGTTTATTGCACTCTGGCTCCAGCCCTAGTTAAAGGTGTGAACTACCAAAGTGGAAGGGAGCACATGCACATTAACACTGCTGTGGGAAACATCGCCTGACAGATGGATGCATGTTAAATGGATGTTGGAAGGAAGGTGTTTGCAATAAAAATCTTGAGTATGGCATCAGAGGAAGACCACACACAATTTTCCAGCTTTATGTCTGCAGTATATAGGGGGTCAAGCTTGTTGTAGTCCTCGTGTTCTTTTACTGTCACAGACTTTGCTGTGCTGCTCTCAACAGCACTGACAAGAAGGTGAAGTATCAGGGTTCGAATGCCACATATGAGTAGTTCTATTTGAATCCATACGTACACAAAGACACATTTCTACTTGATATTTTTACAGCAATATCTCCCAAGAAGGGCAGTGGAGCTGGGGAAGCCTCTGGAGCACCAGAAGTGACTGGAGGTGGGGCTCAGCCTGAAGAAAAAGAGGATCAGAGGGGACCTTCTCACTCTCCACAACTCCCTGACAGGAGGGTGCAGCCAGGTGAGGCTTTGTCTCTCCTCCTCAGTATCAAGCAATAGGAGAAGAGGAACGACCTCAAGTTGCACTCAGGGAGGTTTAGATTGGGTACCATGAAAAGTTTCTTCACTGTAAGGGCTGTCCAGCCCTGGCACAGCTGCCCAGGGTGGTGGTGGAGTCCCCATCCCCAGAGGAGTTTAAAATATGTGTGAATGTGACAGCGAGGGACATGGTCTAATGGTGGGCCTGATAACCTTAAATATCTTTTTTGACCTAAGTGATTCAATGAAACATTAATAATTTTGCTTTTATTTTAAATACACAGCCATTTCCAGGAGTCTAGTCAGGAGCCAGAGGATCTGAGAAGTTGTGGTAAAAAATTGTCAGTTCATTCAGTGAAAACGTGACAAAATGGTCTAAGGATAAGCTGAGTTTCTCCAGTTTCAGTTACCAGTTCTTGGTTTGTGGAGGATGAAGGAGATGTTCTTAACATTGCGCAAATGCAGAACTGGGAATTTGACGTGCAGATCTTCCCTTGTTTGTGAAAATATGTGTCTGAACAACCCTGAGAGCTGAAGCGTTGAAATCCTGGCTGAGAATATATATCCAGGATTAGGAACAGAGAACTTCAGTGGGAAAAGTCATCTGGGATTTCTTAGACATTCCTCTGGTTGGAAACTTGGCCATAAAAATTCTTCCTTTTTTGTCCCCAAGGCATTGTTGTCAGACACTTTGTACCTGAAGATTTTTCTTTCCCATTATTGAAGTTTTCCTAACCCAATGTGCAAGGACCTTGACTGGGAGCATGGTAGGGAAGAGGAGCTTTAGGCAAGAAGATGTCCCCTTATCTGAGATGAATCTGATGGATCCCTTAGCTGTTTCCCGTACAGAAAATAAGACTTTCCAAGCAGAGAATTGTATTGTCTATATTTTTGCTCTTTTCCCAAAATATTTTTGGCTAAACCATCTCCTTCCTACACAAGGAAATTTTTCACCCTCTACCTTAGATGAACTGGTTGTTTTTCTTTACGTATGGAGCTCTTTTTTGAACTGAGTTCATAACTCCTGTTTCTATTTGCTTTGCATTTTCAAATATCTAGTCCAGGAATCCTTTCACCTGAGATTACCAGGGGAAAAAAAAAAATCCAAACACATGAATAACAGCTATGTACAGTTTACAACTTGTAGATTTGAATTTGTTTACATAAATTTGCAAATCTGAAAGGATCTGTGAGAAGAATGCAGGCAGGGGACACAACACGAGTCTCAGCTTATTTATGTGCTCTAAATTTGCTTGGCTTTATGGAGACCTGCTTGTCCTTGTGCTATGACAATGGATGGTTTATAGGGTCTTAAAACATTGATGGAAAAGAGGAAAAATTCTTCCTTCAAAACTTTTGAGTTGGAGAGGAGCATTTGAAGCCACACTGCTGGAATATGAACATTCACACCCACGGTACCAATGGTACAAAAACAAAAATCCTGTTTTCTCCCTCAGGCCCAGCTCCAGCAAGCACTTACACACATGCTTAACTTTATGCACACAAGAAATCCCATCAGTTTAATGGGATTATTCCCTTATGTGTAGTTACACACACGTAAGTGTTTGCAGGATTGGGGTCTATTTCTCTCGCAGTGATTTGAAACTTACGGTAGAAAATTCTGTGTGCAAACTTGGTGTTGCCTAATGGCCAAACATTAAAACTGAATTTTTCTGCTGAAAAGCATGGGGCTGTGCCAGCTTGTCCTGTCCTTTTCTGTGTACGGTTTGAACTCTCTAAATGCAACACTTTTGTGACTATCACAGCAAAAAAGGGGATTGGAAAGATAACTAAGAACAAAAAATATCAAGAGTGGAAATTCTCCATGCCTAGAGGTTGCTCTATTCCAAATCTTGATTTAAAATTTGAATTTAATCTAGAAAATGAAATTAAAATTAAAATTAAAATTTGAATTTCGTTCAGATGTGTACAAAATATCCTCATCTAGAATGAAATAACCCGTAACTATTTCTGCTCTGAAGAAAAGGTTTGCCTTTGAAATTTAATTTTGTAAGTCTACATGCACCCAAATTTATAGGAGAAAAGTATTTCCAGGGAAAAAATGTGTATAAATCTGGATGCTCACACATGCAGGTAAACTTGCATGTGCAGGATGAGCACTACAAAAAAAAAAATAGAAAAAAACCACCAACCAAATTTTAAAAGAATAACTGAACTTACCCTTCCCTCTGACTTAGGGAGTTTACTTTTAATTTGAAATTCTGCAGCCAAGATATTATTTAAAAATTTAAGGCAAGTAACCATCTGCCATAAATGATAGAAATGGAATATAAATAAAATAGCGCTTGTAGTATTCCGATGGAAATCACACACCAATCGCTTCCACAGCCGAGGCAGCAGCAATACTTTCAGATGTCAGGAACAAAGGCAGAGAAGGGAGTTGCTTTGGCCAGGACATGTTTTGCTGTACATGGTGTAACTTGGCTGTCCTGAAAGACAATGTTATTAAGCAATTTAGGCTGGAGCGTCATTATGCCCCACGAAGAATTTAAGGAAGATCTTGACTTGAGCGTGCTGCAAGAGGAGTCCTGCTGTGCCATTTGGTACAAAAGGATAATCAGTCTTATGCCACTGGCACACTGGAACACCTAATGGGATATGCCAGGCATGGATGTTCAAGGTTTTATATAAGGTAACAGCTGCCTTGGTCAGGCAGTTAATTAAATGTGTTAATTTTCCATACAAGCAGCAGTAGTGACAACAGATCCAAGTGGGATTTTATGACATTTCGGGGTTCCCTTATGTGATCACAGCGATGGATCGCACCCACATCATCTTTCACATCCCTGCCTTCCCCCCTTGGACATGGGGAAATTTGGAAATTCACTCTCTGACTCCATGAATATTAGAGCAATGGTAATGCTCTGGTAGCACTTACTGCATATTGCCAGTTGTCCCAACTCCAGTCTTGAAAAGCTGTTTGGGCTTATTCCCACACTGATATTGGTTTAGTCAGAGATGCAGCAATTCATTTACAAGGCAAAAGTGCTTTTTATTTTCTCCCTCTATCTTACATTCCTTATTAGAAATGTTTAATGAGCAGATATGTAGCCTGGAAATAAAGCAGTGTGATATTTTTTAATAGATAGTGTGTTCTTCAGATGTAGAATTACAGAAAATTATCTTCTTGTTCTTGATAGTTTGGCTTGTACAACGTTGCAGGATGACAAATTCAACCTTTTCTGTGCATTATTACTTTCATAACATGATAATAACTCAAATGCATCAAGAAAGAGAAGGTAAATGGGGACAATTCGTGAAAAGGACTAGGAGAACATATTTAGAAGTAATGGTCTGACAAATATGCATACTGAATAATATAAATGAACTGAACAAGTTTCCTCCCCACCAACTGGATAATACAGTGTGAAGGAAAGTGGAAGAAATGCAAAATGCCAAGTTAGGCATGTGAGGACTGACCAAAAATGAGTCACACTCCCACGCTTTTGGCTCACAATTCGAAATATTTGTTTTTAGTTGATTGGGTAGCCACTAAAAGTATATGGTGAGCTTTGTTTGAATTTGATCTGTCACTTTTTTTTTGATGGGTGACAATGATTTTATGACATATGTCACATTGTGTCACATCACTCACAACACATCAAGTCACACTCTATCCCATCATTTCTGAAGGCAATAATGCCACTCAACACGACGTGACGTGACGAGATGTAACGCAACTCAGAGGCTGAAAAAACAACGGGAAACTTTGGTGGGTGTGACATGGGTCCCTGAAATTACCTTGGAATGAGCCTTGGGAAGATCCCAGGAGTTAAGTTTGCAAAGTGGGGCAGCTGGGTGACTTCTGCCTTCGTGAAGGTGGGCTCTGAGTTACTCGGTGTAGAGAGGCAGTGAGTAGTTACTCTGTTCATGGTGGGAGTCTGTTGCTGGGCTTGGTGATAAAAGTGAGTTCTTCAAGGGAAAAAACTTGCTGGAAAGATGAGCCTTATGCCTGAAATGTGACAAGACTGGAACTGTCTCTGACCTGAAAGCCTGCATGTCTTTAAGTGTTTTAGAGCTTTTAAAATATCTGAAACCTCAGGGGATGTCCTAAGCATAAACATTACTTTAAGCCAGGATTTAGCTGGATGTGGTCTTCTAACATATTTCAAACAAAGATGGCTGCAATCTTTATGAGTTCTGCCCTGTTTTTCCAACAATTATCTCCTTTCCCGTGTTATCTCCTTTCCAGTGTTTGTGTTGTATATGGTGTCTTATCTGTTCTTATTGGCTTCAGCAAACTATATCCATGTGCACACAAAAAGGACCTTCATCTACATCAACAGCAGGATATTTCCATTTAAACACACCACTTAAGCACAAATTGTGAAATTCCCTCAATTTTTGAACACTTCACTGGAAGAGCCTGAATTCCTTAGCTGACAGGATTGCACCAGAGAGGTTTTTCAGGTAGGTGAAACTTCTTTCATTGTGTGCATAACCAAAGATCAGGTTCTTGCTAATCCAAAGCTCTACATGGCTCATCAGCTCCACTGATCATCAGGTTTTCTTGCACTGTTTGGTCAGTGGAGCCTCTGAACACAGTTTATCTGCATATTGCAAAATCAGGGATGGAAGTCCCATCCATGGAAGTGTCCAAGGCCAGGTTAGATGGGGCTTGGAGCAACCTGAGATAGCAGAAGGTGTCCCAGCCCATGGAAGGGGGTTGGAATGAAATAGTCTCACTCCTAGGCTGGTGAGTACTGACATGATGTCCAGAAGAGTGCTTGTGGCTCTGAAGTCAAACAGAATGATGGACTTCGCTTTCTGAACTTTTGCACCACCCTCTTTTCTTGATTTCATGTTAATGAGCTTCTTGTATATCCTTTACTGTTCTTCAGGTCTGATTTTCCCCTTTAATTATCTTGGAAGTCATCCTTGATATCTGGAGTTTTCATTATGCTCCAGGGCAGACGAGAACTGAGCTGAGTAACACCCACCCCCCCTTTTCCTTGGTGACATTTTCCCATCAGGAAAAAAAAAAAAACAACCCTGCAGTTCTCTTCAAAATGCTGCTAAGTAATTTACAGACTGAATAACTTGAGATTCTTCCACCTTTCCTGCACACACCGACGAGGAACTCGTGTAAATTCTCACTTTATTACCACACCTGTTAGAAATCACTGCTGCAACTTAGGTGTGAAAAAATGTGGCTGTCCTATACCTAGTCAGGAATCCATCCCAGGCTCGGTGTAAGTGCATCACCACTGCTATAAAACAGACACAACTACTTTGGTGACATTCACTGTTACTGTACGTTGACAAGTTCCCATTTAATTTACTACATATGGTTCCACGTCTCCATAGCTACTCTCGTGAATTCATTATTCATTAAATAAGTGATGAATTTACTTAAATATTGCGGCCACATGGCCGACACAAATGCATTCTAATATTATTAACACGTTGCCAACTTGCAACTCTTCGAAGTCTGAGTAAATGTTTTGACAAGAAGAGGCAGCAAGAACAAATAAGTAGTAGCAGCCTAGATGAAGTTCAGCCATAGTTCTAACAGCTTTAAAGTCTTAACAGTGTTTTCACTGGGGCAGTACCAGATAAATTGCTCTTATGTGTGCATACAAGAGACTAAAATTCCTTTGAAAGTTTATAATTTCTCATGGGAAAACACAACATAAAAGTTACTTTTACTCATAGAAAAACAACACCATATTTTCCTGTCAACCTTTGCTGTTGGGAATTTCAAACTTTTTGCATTTTTTCCCTGTGATTCTTTGTCGACCCGAGGGACAGGCATTTACAACATAATTTACTTTCAGCGTGTCTCTGTAAATCATTGTAATACTATCTATGGCTAGTGGGGAAAAAAAAAAAGCAGCACTCTCCAGTTGGACTGACAAACCACTTTTCCAAAACTTCGGCAGCAAAGCAAAATCCCCCATTTCAGCAGGGAAGCACTGACACGTGAGATACACAAAAGAAATGTATTTTATGAGGGCTTTCATATGAATTTTTGTATTTAGAAGTTGTAATATTTACTGGGAAACATCTATTGAACTGTGTTTGCTTGCAGCAAAATATTCAGAATGTGTGGAGTATAAAACATGTCTTGGTGGGAGAATTCTGGTGCAAAAAGAAAACCGCTGATATTTCTTTTTTGGAAATGTCAGTGTATTTTTTCCTACTGTTCTTAAGGCCTGTTGTTGCCACTGTTGTTGTACAGGCTTAACAGTGTTGTCAGAGGTGAGGTGTTTTAAGCACAGGCTGCCATAAAAAAAGCTGGAAACCTGTAGAGCCTTTCAGCCTCACTTTTTGAGACTGCTGCTAATATCAAGGCTCATTCAGTTTTACATTAGAACTTGATGACTTGCACATTGGTTGAACCTTCACCTTTTACAACCTTAATGGGGATTTATTAGCTATTTCACAGTGTGTAAATTTGAATCTAGGTCAGATGAGGAAGAAAAATAGGGCAAATCTGGGCCTTAAGTATAACCTGCATATAATATATCAGGATAAAAAAAAAGGTGCAAAATTAAACAGATGATTAAAAGTGTCTAGAGCAGGCAGAGTTTGAAAAAAGAGCTTGATAAATTAGGGGTGTATGTAGGATTTTTTTTTTTTTTTTCCGAGTTCAAACTCAGGTGACTGGTGAAAGTCTGGTTTCCACACAAATTCAGCAGATTAAGGAGTTAAAATAGCTTGTTAACCTGTTTCTGCTAACTGCTAGCAAGAGGAAATGTAACACAGGTGTGTTTGATATTCACAAGATTAAAGCTTTTGTCTACCATCAAATGTTCACCACATTAAAGTGGTTTTAATGAGGTATTGGGAGATAATGAATGTACGGCTCTAATTCAGCGCAGCAGAGACAGCCTGCCCCTGCTCTGACCCCGCTGCAGCCAGGTACCCAAACCAACAGATTGGTCTCACTCTTACACCAAAAGATGTGTGCAGAATGGAGCAGCCACTACCTGCTGCTGTCCTGCCCTGCTGAAAATGCATCTGGTTCAGGTGCCCCGAATTACCTAGAGCCTGACAACAGGTATTGATGGTGTGGTGGCACTCATCCCTCACCAACTCCTTCAGGAAGGTTGTCTGGAGGGAAAAAAAACACAGCTGGGTTTTAATAGTGTGTGTGCGTGAGGTAGGCAAAAAATGGGTACAAATTAATACTGTTCATGTTATTAATGTTATCATTCGTTCTGGTACTTAGTGATGTTCAGCAAGTCAATAGCTGGAGTGAATAAAGGTTGGAAAGGTCTCTGTGGTTCATCCAGCCCTGTACTCCCTGCTCCATGGATCCAACCCTCCTGCTAAGCTAAGGTACGCTGCCTGTTTGCTTATTCTTAATAGAATAAGCTCCAAATAAAAATAAAATTAAGATCCTGAAAGGTTCTCCAAACCAGATTTATTTTGGCATGCATATGCAGGAAACTATGTACTGTAGCAAGTTTTAAATACTGTATTTGGACACTAATTCTCAACTGCCGTCATCAGTTTGCTGACAGCCATCTGCTTGGACCCTGCTCCTTCCTCCCGTTCAGCACCGTTAAAGTAAAATATTGACAGAAACAACTTCTGCAGCAAAAGTGGAAAAGTTAATAACATAACTGAAGTCACACAGGATTTTTCTCTAATGTTCTGGAGCTCTCCTACAATTTCGTTTTACTCATGCCTTAATTTAGAAGTGTCCCACCCCGGCTTAAAAATAGGCGTTTGTGTAGCCAGCTATCTATAGATGGCACAGGTTCCTGAGGAGAGATGTATCGCTGCAAGTGCCTCCTGTACAGTTCATGTGACTTCTTGTAATGAGTAATGCACATGCTCCTGGAGGAGCTGACACACCGGGCGGGATGTTGTCAGTCAGAGCTGGGAAAAGAAGTCATCACAGTAAGGTTGTCACCGTGGCTGCCAAAATCTGCTGCAACACGAGCAGCAGATTGGTAGAATTCAGATCTACCTGCAGAAACATTTTGAGCAGCGATGTAGGGAGCCGATGCAATCCTTTACATCGTTGCACAGTGCTGGCTTTGAGCTCCAGGGGGTACCTGGACATTTCCAGAATGATTCTCAGCCTCCCTGGGATGAGATTTTTTTTTGTTCTGTACATGCCTTGTGATGATCCCCACATTAATGAGTCTGAGATGCTCCAGTTCAGCACAGAGCAGGCTCTACCTTCAGCTCTTTGTGTGAAATGTCATTAAAGCTCTTGCACAGGTCACAGGGCAATGCACAATAAAAGACTTTGCCACTAATTATTTCAAAAAGGAAAGTGGACGTGAGTTCATGTACACACACACATACACACACAGATATACATTCACATAAATAATTTATTTGTCATACCTATTTATAATACATGAATCTTTTATGTTTTATGATGATACCATTGCAGTTTTCAGATTTACATCTCTTATTAAATTCCCCACACAACAAAACACAGTACTATGGAAATATATAGCCCTACAAACTGATTCAAGGTTTCTAACCCAAGTGGTCTCACTGTCTGCAATATTCCTTTCTAAATTGTGCCATTACATCCCACAAATCGACTTGCAATGAAAGGTAGTTTCTCTTTATTCTCTTACAGCTTTGTGGGAGAAAGGAAGGCAGAATCTCATCCCTACAGAACAGCACAACAGTTTCCAGGCTGAACTCTCTAACATACACAATCTCCTCTGTGCTTCTGAACACACAGACCCACCAGCCCTGTGAGAAGATGAGTGTGTTTACCACGTTGAAGAAATCAGCAGTAGATTTAGTGGAGTGCCTTTGGGCAGGTGAGAAAAATTCTGAGAAATCCAGTTTCCAAGCAGGAAATTCGACGAGTGATGCAGAGATCGTGGCAGAAGCTGAAAACGGTGTGCATGCAAGGACAATGCCTCAGCATCACACTTAACACAAGAAAACGGGAACAATACATATTTTTAAGAGATGCTTTATATATTTGACCTCGTTTTGGTGGTTGTTTGGTTTTTTTCCCTGTAGAGGAAAAATGAATCAATCTGTTCACCACCCTGAGAGTGAGCACTGACTCCCACTCCTTGCCTGGTGCACAGCCCTCAGGTCAGTGTGTGGGTGAGGGAGGTGAGCCCCGAGCACTCTCCATGCTGGGCAGAATGATGAGAGGTTTCTTCTCCTCTCCTGTTCACCTCTGTCATCCTTGTTCTCACTTTGGGATCACCTCCTCAAAATTTGTTTGAAAGTCCTTCACCACAGTGCTCCAGGTGGTCAGCAACTCCAAATCCCTTTACAGACCCTGCAGCTCTGTCTGTCCTTACATCTCGTGTGAAACATGCAGCCAGAAGTCCCCACCCTGCACCACCTGAAGCCCCAAAGGAATTGTTTTCTTCTTTAAGCAGTTCTCTAGACTGAAAGGCGAGGGCTCACTGTGAAAATAGGTATGATTTTAAACAGCCTTTCACATTTCACACGTGTGGTGAGGATGGCTTACCAGCCTCACCAGGCTACCTTGCAGCTTCTCTTTTATGGTCTGAAGCTGGAGGTGCTGATGCATCCTCAGAAAGCCACAGGCAGAAACCTCACAAAGAGATTAAAGATGTGACAGGGAGAGGCAGGAGGAAATGCTCCTGCTCGTTTTCTTGTGTGTGTTCTTCTGAAGGTAAAGCCAGCAGGAACTCCAGCACAGGTCCATGAGTTTCCAGAACAACCTTTGGAAGTTTCTGTCTGTTTTCCAAAGGAAAAAAGCACCAGCAGACCCAAAGCATGGAAAAATACTCAGCAGAATCAAGCATGACAGGAAAACTTCACAAAGACATTGCTGTTGCTTTACTCAACCATTTTCTCCTCCTCTCCATCTACAAGGGAGAGGTACAAGAGACCCAACACCTCTGTGCACATTGGTGGAAGGCTGTAATATTTTTCTCAATTAAAATCCCTGGAAAATGTGGTAACATTTAACTCCACATGTTAAAGAAGGTTCTTTCTAGTTCAGTTCGCACTGGCTCCGTCTGCTTCCGTGCTGTGCAGCTCCTTGTGACTTTTTTCCAAGTTCAGCCATTTAGAACATTTAGATATTTCAGAGACATTTAAAACACTGGGATATTTTAGAAGTCACAGTGATTTCTGAGACATCTTGGACCATAGATGGCATTTGTTAGTTTGAGGGGAACTATTTATTTTAATTTGCAAAGAAATGTAGGACCAGTGATCAAAAGTGATCCAAATCCATTCGTGATGTGACAAGTGGCAAACGATTTTTGCTTTTGTAGCATCTTTAATGCAAATGAGTGTAAAGTTCCTGAATATTTGACATGAGGATGTATTTATTAAAGTGTTAATAGCACAAAAGAGCATTGTTATATCAGGGAGACACATTATTAAAAAGTTTATAGCAAACAAACAAGTTTTCAGAGCTGGATTAGAAACCTGATTTATCTGCATTGTTTTAAATAAAACAATGAAGAGATAAAGTAGCAAGTGAATATCAAATAGAAGTGTTCAAGGCCAGGTTGGATGGGACCAACAACAATGAGAAGTTGTTGGAACAGCAATGGTCTTTAAGGTGCATCCCATACCAAACAGTTCTCAGATTTTAGGATTTTGTCACACATTTGGGATAATAAAAGGAAAAAAAAAATATCTTGGGTATCTAATAGACAAGTTAGAATATGAAAAATCTTGTTGCCTGCTGTGGTGTGGTGATATCAGGGAGACTTGGACTTGCTGGTGTGCATCAGAGCTGCTCCAGGGGGCATCAGTCAGTGTCCAGAGCAGCCAAAGCTTGCTGAGGGGATATCTCATTGCAAACCTCTGGCCACGAGTCCAATCCAAAACCTGGGAAAGAAGAAGAAAATCGCTGAAGGTCTTTGCTATATATACATCCTGGGGAAGAGGAGCACCTAACACAAACTGCTGCCTGGTTTGGCGTCTCTGCTGCCAGCATTTGTGTCAGCTGAGCCTTCCAAGTGACAGCTGACGTCACCAGAGAACCTAAGAGATTTCCACCAGAAAAGTGTCACAGGAGAGAACATCTATTTTCCCAGGAAACCCAGTCCCTCTCCCTCACTGGCTCATGTGAGAAATGCTCTTTGTAGCCTCCTCTAATTGTGAGGTCACACCTTCCTTTAATGAGTTTTCTAAAAGTTTACATCAAGTTTCCTTCGTGACACAGGTAGGGTTTCATTGATCTCCAGCCAGGGCTGTCATTATCAGAGCACGGGGTTCCAATTCCTGATTAATGAAAATTATAATTATGTACAGATAATGGGGAGGGAGAGGGAGAGAGAGATGTTTCCATGTTACTTTAAACAAAGAAGAGTTAAGGCCTTATCTTAACTATGCATTGGCACTGCAATGCGAAATGGTCATGCAAAATTAATTTTTAATGTGTTCAATTTATATTAAAAATTTCTGCAAGTGTGTGAATTTTTTTTTTTTCTAAGGCTGGAGTGCTACTTCATTTACAATATTCCCTGAAGGTGTTTTTTTTTTAAAGAGACTCTTAAACTGAAGCCATTTTAAGGGTTTTATGAGACATTATGTGAGCTTTCATATGCAAGTTAGTCGTTAAGTACCAGATATTATATTCTGTAATATGCTTAAGTGATATTAGAGGCTGTATATAGCCTGCAGTAATGGCTATTGCTGCTTTTTTAATTTATCAAGAAAATGTTGCTTAAATAAGGAGCAAATCAGTGTTTGGGTGTTAGAAAATATAAATGTAAAGGAAGCAACAATATTGTTGGGACATATTTTGTGCTCTCAGCTTCACTGGGTAGCAAAACCAGGGTCTGCTTCTCCTACTCCTGCTCACACACATGGCAAGTTCCATATATAACATGCTGGACACATATAAAAAAGAGAAATTTCACCAGACATTGCTCCTCATGACTTCATGAGAATTTATATCATGCCCCTGTTAACTGGATTTTTTTTTTAATCATATGATTCCTGGCATTCAAACAAAGTAGCAACTCACATTTGGACTTAAAGGAGTGAAGTCTTTGAATATTCAGCCTACAAAGGGAAATGTTTTTGTTAAGCTGGATTCACTGGTCAAGCTATAAAAGACAGGATAAAAAAAAAAAAAAATCACAACAAACCAGCCCTCACATGGTGAACAAACTTGCTATTTTTTTCTCCACCCTCCCTCCCTTAAGAGTCAGAGGAAGAAAAAAGAGAAATCTTTAAGCTGACAAGTTTGTAGAAATGTAAAAGTCACTTGACTTTCCTTTCAAACGTGCCTCTTGCTCCTTGTCCTGACAGCAAAATAAAGGCTGTCTGTAGCTGTGCTGCAGAGAAGGGGAGTGCAGGAGTGTTGGAGACTTGGCAGGGACACCTCGTGTTGGCCACAGAGTTCCCCACCTGCTCTGACCCCCGCGTGGAGCCCAGCTGACTGCTCAAAATATTCCTGCTCCAGCCACGGACCCCTCTGCTGTGCCCAGCTGCAAACTCAGGCAGACTTGTGATTGAAGAAATGTATTTCAAATGAAAAATAATCTTTTCCATTTTCTTCTCTTCTCCCAGCTGCTGATTCCCACCCTGATTCCTGTTCTGGAGCTGTGATTAATATTTTTTTTTTTTTTTTTAAATCACATCATCCTTCTCTCTCTCTCTCTCTCTCTCTGCCTCTCCTCCCCCTCCTCTTCCCAGTCCTCCTCACAGCTGTGGATCCTCACTCCTCCTTCCAGTTGCCTCTGCTGTCGTCCCTGCTCTCCTCCCTCCCCCAGCTCCCTTAAATATTTCAGAGGAAAGTAATCCAGCTTCATCCAGGCTTTATGGCACTGCCTCTCCTCCTGTCTGCACTTATCCTCTCCTGCTGCCTTTGGGAGGAACGAGCCCCTGGGCACCCTGGGCACCCTGGAATCGGCCTCCTGAACAAACCCACTGGGCACCAAATGGGCACCATGGACCCAGCCAGTCCTAGCCAAGGGACCTCTCTGGAGAAGAGAATTTTGCAGGGAGCACAGGGGGCTCCCCAAAGCCATGCAGCCCGGGATAAACATCTCCAGGCTGCTGCCCGGGCTCCGCCTGCTCCATGACCTTCAGGTGCAGCGCCTGGAATCCCCTCAATGCCAAAAATCAGTGGTCCAGAGGGATCCTCTTGGCAGGGAGGAGATGGCCAGTGAGCAGCAGGTCTGTGCTCCAGGGGAGAGGAGGTCAGGACGGGGTGAGCTGCTTTGCCCTGCCTCACACACTTTTTAATGGCTTATGACTACTATGAATTCTCTTCATGGAACAAAAAAAACTTTTCCACTCTGTGGTAGCTGTCGGGAGATCCACATTCTCACTGAAATACAGAAACACTCCCACTTCCATCAGGAATTTCTCACTGATGACTCCCCAGCCCAAGCATGAGGAGAACATAGCAGTCCCCGAGGGCAGTGACTTTGGCGTCTCCAGCTCAGGCACGGAGATTTCCTGGCGTTAGAGGACAATGTTGTTGGTCTGCCCATTATCCCGTCTTTGAGGTGGTTTTTGACTTTCCCTAGGGATGCCCCTGCCATGCATTCCTACCTTCTCTGGCTGAGCAAGCCCCAGTGTTTTTGATGAAACAAAACTAAGCAGATAAAGCAGTAATAAATATAATAAATCTCCCAACACCTGAACCACCTCCTGTCCCTGCTCTGTGCTCTCTCCCCATGATGAGCCCCAGGATCACTCTCACCTCTGTTCCACAGCCTGAGCTCTGAGTTCAGGAACCAACTTTTAACCACCTTTAAACTCTTTTGTACGGCCCAAACCATTTTACCCTTTCCCCAAGGATGTCTCTGTGTGGAGGTTTCCTGTTAGTGTTGGTGTGGTCAAAGGGCAATTAGGCTTTTCTCCTGCAATTTGGAGCTTGAACTGGCTTAATCTGTGTTCGGCAACACAAGCATCTGCTTCTCTTCTCCCTCCCACCCCCTGCTCATGCACACACAAAGCCTCATTATATTAATAAAATATTTTCCCATTCTTCACCTGATTAGCTGCCTGCACGTGCCTGTGAGCCCATTTTCCATGAAAAATGTGTGTATGCATTTACACCCGTACGTGCCAATGCACCTTCCCCTGATTATATACAAACAGATGTTTATATATAGAATGCATATTATAAATTTAAATTGATACGGGAACATAAATCTGAATAAATCACAGCTAAGCTGCAGCTTAAAATAAACATTCTGGAAAAAAAAAAAATAAGCAAATAAACTTTTTTTTTTTTCCTTCATTTTGGCAGAATGTTTATTTATTTAACAACAGCGATGCAGTTGCTTACACTTTCTACAAATGTTTTATCTCTTCTTCCTCCGCACCTGTCCCTGAGTGAATAGAGCCACATCTGCCTCATCTTGGCATAACAAGTACACATCTACATCTGTGAAAGATGATTCCATTTTTGAAGGAAACACTGTCTACTTTTACACTCCTGCAGTCTGCTAGAAATTATTACACAATGGATTTTGTGTCTTGCAGGAAGGCTGCTAAATAGTGAATAGCGAGTTTGGAAATGGTACAACAAAAGTAATGCCCTACTTTAACAAATAGATGGCTAGATATAAATATATATTTATTCTAAACTTTATGGGTAAGAGAGACCCTCTGATTAATGTTACCTTCATTTTACTCTTCCTGGTGTAGTGGACTCAGTTAAAAAGCTCAGGAAATAGGAAGTGCAGAGTAGAGGGTAATAATAGGATATAGATGCTTTCACCCATCAGCTGCCATGTCAGAGCCTACATGAAGCTGATAACGACTGGAAAAATAGCTGAAAAATCCTTCCCTGTGAGGGTGGGAAGGCCCTGGCACAGTCTGCCCAGAGGAGCTGTGGCTGCCCCTGGATCCCTGGAAGCATCCAAGGCCAGGCTGGATGGGTCTTGGAGCAGCCTGGGAGAATGGAATCAGCACGGACAGTGGGCTCTTGGTTGAGAGGAGCCAAGAGCTGGAGTGCTGTCCAAGGTCATGTCATTAATGACATTCAGTAACTCATTAAATAAATGAAGAGGTGAGCTTTGGCTGATAAGGGTTTAATGAGTTAAAACTGTGAAACAGCCAAAAGCCGCTCTAGTGACACTGAACTGATGACCGGCAGTCCTTTCTTTGCTCATCTCTCTTCTATGGGCTTGACCATCAAAGCTGAAGTAAAAACAAAGAGGAAGTGTCCTGAGGTTTCTATATTGTATTTTCCTCACCATTATTGCCTTCCCTGCACCCAACAGCTCTTGTAGAGATGTAAAAGCAGTGCAGGAACATCATCCATCCATCCATCCATCCATCCATCATCCATCCATCCATCCATCCATCCATCCATCCATCCATCCATCCATCCATCCATCCATCATCCATCCATCCATCCATCATCCATCCATCATCCATCCATCCATCCATCCATCCATCCATCCATCCATCCATCCATCCATCCAT